GGATCGGAGGCGCATGTGCGTTTTCGCCAGCGTGTTTTTAGGGGCTGCGGCTGTCATGGCTGCGATGGGATGCCAGGTGCTTGTGGCAGGCCTTCGCACGGAGTGTGCCAATGCAAATGCTCGCCGAAGCCACAGAATTCAGTGGGAAGTGATGCGGATGTTCAGACCATGGGACTGAAGGCCTGATGCAACAGCGGCAGCACTACGAGGATCCACGCCGCGGAGTCCCGCCGAGGGAGCGCACCACTCGGCCAGAGATTGAGTGATCGCTCCGTGTACTACTGTTGATGGCAGTGGCGCTTGGCCTGGCGCTGCCTCCAAGCTAATAGCATCCAGGTAATTAAATCCGGGTGCTGGTACTAGCCCACAACTGCACACACGTAATATGAAAGCGAGAGTGGTAATGAGACCGGTTGATTCCCAGCTCATAGCGTACCGCGCACCCGTCCACGCATGCATGATGCCGCACATGTGCTGCTACCACTTTTTTCAGAACCGGCGGCAAGCTCGACTCTTCGACTACAACCGAACCGCGAACCAACATCCAGGGTCCATGCCGGTGTCTGCCTGCAGTGGACGTCTGTTTGTCTTTCTCTCCGTTTTCAGAATGCTAGCGACATGCTCCACATCTCCCCATCTCAAGCATCAATTTTCACCTGGGCGCTCAAGCTTTTCAAGATTTTGGCCCTGACCTGCCTGGCGCAGAGATTCGACGTCCGAAATGATTGGGCGATTATGGGGGTTTGGTGGAAGGAATGAAATGGTAACTATTTGGTGATAGTCATTATTAGTGTCGGAACACATTGAAAGCATATAGTACATGCACTAGCTCCCGACTGAGGACCATTGTGTTTCGCCCGAGTGGAACTGTTCATGCCCGATACTCAGCTCTGGCTCTTCAAGCTCAGTTCCATCGCAGGACACGTGTTCGCAATGTCTCTGCTGCCGAAAGGACCTGGAACAGAGCTTCCTGGATCTGGCGGGCGTTGAACAAAAAGCAGCTTCCGCGGCCGCGCACTTCCGTTGCTTGGGATCCAGGTGCTGTGTTCACTTCCAATACAAAACCCCACAGGCTCAACATCCGCAGGCTACAATTTTCAGCTCCTTTCAGGATAAGAAATCTTGATGCAAGTCACCCGTAGGAGAGATCCGAGATGGCAGGTACTATTCAGCTGCAAGGTGTGGCAGCTAGGTTCTAGGCCGCTAAGAGGATCTAAGACACACTCCAGACTGCAGTTCGGCAAGGCTGCAGGACGTGACAGCTTGCCATTTACATACTTCGAGGTCTTCATTCCTTCCTTGAATCGACAGTGTGGGTTCAAGCGCACCTCACGGTAGGTAGATTGATAGGTATTCAGTTCCACCCTGGAGCACTGGATAAAGAGTTTTCAAAGGCCTGGTGGGTGCCAGGGTGAGCCTTGAGTAGATCGTGATAGATCGTGCAAACGAGACAGTGTGCTTCAGGCAAAATGCCCATTATCGGCTACGTGCAGGCCAGGTCTGCAAACGACTCGTGCACTGCTGTCAACAGAGCAGCTTGGCCTGGTGGAATGCACAGGCCCTCCAGTCCGCAGTCTCCGGGAATGCATTTTCAAGTCAGTGTCCTGTGCAGCGGTCGGAAAGTGTGGATGGAGCGGCGGGGTGTAGAAGAACTGCAAATTCTGGGCGGCTGGCATGGAAGTGCAGCACGGGTCTTGTGAAAGTTGCCTGGCAAGGAGCATACTCATTTGGAGCACGCAGGCGTCTTGGCCCGTCCATTTCGGAAGGCCTTTCCCCTTAAACGTTGTGAATGGCGCGACAGGCGAACGAGCACCGGTCAGCTGAATGTGCGACCCGGTCGCAGGGCCTCCTTGCAGAGTGCACATCTGTGCTGCAAGAGCCAGTTGAAACAAAGTAAGGAGCGACATAGATCTCAAAGGCTCAACGGATGACTCTGAAGATGCCACTTGCCATGAATGGCTGCACCATGCGCTTCTTGCCAGAGACTGGAATCCAAGGAGCTGGACAGCCAAAAGCCTGGACCCAGTTTCAAGATCGGCTGCCGTCGCAAGGCTTGATGAGTGAGGAGTGTGATTCCGGGATGCACTCGGTATGAGATGCCTTCACACAGTCACGGGTGCTGTGGATCTACCGTTTGCTGTCGCATCTTGCAGGGGTTGTTCTGATCGAAATCACGCTGGAGCTGGCTCGGTGCTCAGTAGACTCGACGCTGATAAGGCCCGCATCACACGTATATTGAGACGAAAAATGTTTTCAGTCAGCCACATGGACTGGAGGCTCAACACTTCTTCTCGTGAAGGTGCAACCATTCAGTTATCATGTAGCAGCTGGGCACAGCAATCATCGCCCGAGCGCTCGCTTGCTAGCGCGAAGCTCGGGAAGGGTTAGCAGTCGTGATGGTAGTAGTTGTAATTACGTAGTAGTAGTAGTAGTAGAAGAAG